CGTGGAATAATGGATGGGTTGTGTGGTATATGACCAGTGGAACAATGGGTAGGTTGTCAGGGATAGCGTGGTATATGACCAGTAGTGGAATAATGGATGAGTTGTGTGGTGTATGGCCAGTGGAACAATGGATGGGTTGTCAAGGATGGCAATGCATATGACCAGTCGTGGAATAATGGATGGGTTGTGTGGTATATGACCAGTGGAACAATGGGTAGGTAGGTTGTCAGGGATGGCGTGGTATATGACCAGAAGTGGAATAATGGATGAGTTGTGTGGTATATAGCCAGTGGAACAATTGGTGGGTTGTGTGGAAAGATAGACAGTGAGACAGTGGTTTGGTAACCAGTAGGGTGATTTATGACTAGTGTTCTTTGAGACACAGAATCCGGAATGGGGACTAATTTTCCCGTTCCATGAAATGTGGACATATCCTGGCAGAGTGGTTTGGCGGCTGTACAAGTTTCACTGAGACAAGAAACAGTGTGTATTTTCCATTGTAATCTAAACCCCACCGGTGAATACGATTTTGTTTTGTTTTTTATTTGACGGTAAATCATGCCATAAAGATAGCGGCTAGTATTAGTATATCGATTCAAACACGAATAAAATTGAACTAACATCGGTAAATGTTGACGAAGTAAAACAAAACTACTATTCTTATAACGGTCTCATGGTGGCGCGATACGCTTATTACTTTGAAATGGGTTCAGTAGCGATCTTCAAGCGTGCTTTTTTTTGACGTTCGAGGCAATACGAGATTTGGGCTCATCAACCAGATATAGAAGTGCGCCATCGCGCGACACTGCTCCGAATGCGAATGAAACTGTGTTGGTGAATTGGCAAATCTCATACCCGTGACAATTTTCGCATCATGCTGTATATAGTGATTGTAATTCATCGTCATAAAATATCCCTGACTCAACCTATAATAAAACACATACAAGTTATTTATTTATAAAATGTGTTTATTAATATAGCATAGCATAGTATTATGGTTTCTAATATAATATTGATGGTACTCAGAGAGGAGTTGGCCCCAGGGAGTTGAAAACAATATATTAATGAATGTCCGCTGTTCAAACAAACCTAATCAGAATACTCGTATACCACACGCATTTACTCCGGGTTTAACCTGCATCCAATTCAGGCTTATATTTCGGCTGCTCCGTCTCGAATATAAACACTCCTTGTTGCCAGGGTTATTGTATCCTCGTTCCAGAGTTATATTTCGGCTGCACCACCTCCAACATAAACTCCCTTGTTATCGGGGTTATATTTCGACTCGGCGTAGATTCTGGCGACTAGCCACTTCAACATATCCACATTCCCCTGACCTCGTTCCCAGGGTTATATTTTTATCTGAATTCTACTCCATGTAAATGATGGAGACAACATATCTTCGTTCCAGGGTTATATTTCTCTGATTTCTACTCCATGTAAATGCTGGCGACAAGCCACTTAAACAAGATTATATTTCGGCTCTATATAGACTCTGGCGACATGTTCCCGCTCAACATAATATTCGTAACTATAAATTCACATTAGTGGCAAACACAATGCAGACTATTAGAAAATGTTTGTGATTGTTACTTATTTTACGACTTATTGTTTTAAGGTTGGACGCGGCGACACGCCGTCACGTGACATAAGAATGTTTTCAAACTTTCCATAATTATTTTTGTGATGGTTTTTTTTTTTTTTGGAATTCGTGGAATTCAGAAAAAAAAGATCTAAACTAATTTTTGAATTATGAACCTCTATTCTATTATTTTGTCCATTTTACAATCATGATCCAAAATGACAGCCGATTTAGAATGTTTAGTGATCTGAGGAAATTACAAAGTCAGTGTTGCCATTTAAACAAATTATTTGCTCTTTTTCTTTTATTTAATAAAACTTTCATTCAGAACGATTTTCCGCATTTTTTCATGATGGCATCCATAATGTGGCTTCTTATTTTTCTTATCGTACTGGTAAAAAAAAAGTTGATTATTTGTATCCTAATTACTAATTATTTAACATATTTTGATTAATGCTTGGTAACCACTTTATCGCATTTCTGTATAGCAGTGCGTGAAACTATGGGATTGTGTGTTTATTGTTATTTTTTATATAACCACTGCAATAAAACCGATGGAACGAGGCTACAACATACAGGTATGACTGCGAACTCGCTCATCGCGTTGACACACGGCTATAATAATTCCAAAGGTTACTTCTGTTTACTTACCAGAAATAGCCCAGATAAACTCGGCCAAAGTTACTTCTTTTGAATGGTACACAATAATTTCACCATTCGTACCACATTGGAAGGTATTTGAATGGTCAAAAAATGATATATTCCATAATCGTGCCGTAATTTTGCGGTATTTTACGGGGTATTTTCATTCTACCATGATATAAGGAAATGCGAATTCCAAATATGGAATGATTACGCGCATAGGCGCCCTCTAATAATAAAAACAAACAGTTAACAAACCACTGACAGAACAGAAACAAATAAAACATTTTTTTTCGTCAGCAATTGTTGCTCGTTGACCTAGTTGATGACGTCAACACATATAGTGCAGTCACGCCAATGAAATTTAACACACTTACACAACATTCAAAAAATTGTAACCCAGCTGTCAACCCAATCTACCACGACATCTCTCACACAGTCTCAGAGACGCGTGTTTATTATAAAAATTATACTTTCAAGCGTCACAAGAGTTGATACCAAGGCCATGCGCATTCTCACGCCGTTCATTTACCCCATCAAGGTACATTTTGAAACAGTAGCTACTCTCGTCTGGATTGGATTTATCGAATATTAGCATAATTATCGAATATTAGCATAATTACAGTTATGTCATAAAACACGACATACAAATAAATAAAAATCAGAAATAGCAATAAAAGCCATAAAAGTTGAAAAGACCGATCTCATTAGAATTAAAAAATAAATAAAATGTACGAGTTGAGACTTTATTTGTACTGACATGTAAGAGCCTAGTAATTTACGCATGCGCAGATTCAACTCCTACGATATCAAAATCAACATAAAATGTCACTCCAGTTTCTGGAATATTTGACAAACTATAGCCACAACTAACACTTACTGACTCACTGTCTCCGCCACGTAAGTATTTTTGGCCAGTAATTTTTGTTCAAAAAAAATAGTGATAGTTAATATTCATATTCTGTATATGTACTTATCGTCTATCTTTTTAACACAATATTGGCAGTTTGTAGTTAATATTTAAATATCTTACTTGTATTGAAATATAAGCAGCATTGTGTGCTGCCTGTAAAACTACACACTGCACGGCTGCGAGCAATATATGGTTTGACGATGTGGGATGCGACAACACAATATCATAGCCTTCTGATAATGTGTGTAAGCAGCCCGCGAACACCTGTCAGCAAAATATTTTCCTTGGCAATTTAGGATTATAATGAATATTTTAAAATAGTGATAGTTTCGTGTTTGGGAACTTCCGTGACGACCTGTTGCTATTCCTTGATTATTTGTTTCCGGGCATCGTTCAAAGAAAATTGATATTGTGGGCTACCCCATTGTAGGGCGGTGGTCGTCGCGCAGCGCGTGTTCGAATTTCACGTAAAGAACGTATTTTACACGCGTTGTGTACATTGCTATGAGTCCCATAGCGGACAGGACGCGGCGCGACGACCATCTCCCTTTAAAGTCATTAATGTCGTTATTAGATAGCAACGTAGAATGCAAACTACATAAAATGAGTGGAATGATAAAGTTATGACTGAGAAATGTTATCATTGCACTATGCAACCGAATGGAAATGTGACAGGGTTTGTTTGAGCGTTTATCTTCCCGATAGCGACCTTCCCGTTCCCCTTACGGGTGATCTCAATATTTTTACCGGACACCAACAGAAGCAGGGTGTATGGTTTGACGATATCGTAGTAGTGTAAATCATTATCATCGAGAAGTTCTCGCCCATCATACACAATGTGTTGTTCCTCTACCGGGATCCCTCGATTTTCGAAGATCTTGGCTTTCACCTCCCAAACCGTCGTGGTAGGACTGACACACAGTTGATAGCTGTATCGGGCCATCGTCTTCGCGATGATAGGAAACCGTCTGTACGTGACATACACCACAGATGACGCCATGATGTCATAGTCCCAGAGTGTTCGATCACCGTCCAATACTTTCCCCATGTAAATAAATTCCTGCAATGCCACCGGGATACCAGTTGCTTTCTCGTAGATTTCTTTTGTTTCTAGTATCGTGTTGAGTGGTTCCACAATCAGAGAATTCGCATCATCTCGCAGATTTCTCACAGTCAAATGCAGTGTTCCTATGTCTAACGTCCTGTATACGCACAATACGGCTTCCTTACCAATGTCATAGTCAACCAAAGTCATGTCTACATTACCCAGTCGATGACCCCTGTAGATTAATCTCTGTTGCTCAGAGGGTAGCCCGGTGCGTGTTTCGATGATTGATTTAACACTTTTCACTGTTTCCCACTCACTCACTTTCAAGGTGAACGATTCTCCAAACTGCGTTCTGATAAAAATCGGTATAGTTACCTGCGCCCTGGTTTGTGTCGTTGATGAGCCGAACGCATCAACGCCCGCATTCTGGACAAGACATTCAGGAGGAACGATGATCGGGTAGCTCTCTTGTCTGAATACCCACCGTGCTTTTGGTGTACTCTCTGTCTTGACTGTTTTGGTGTGTTCCATTATGGATGAGACTTCCACAGCATATTCCTGATCAACAAATTATTATTTCGCCAGACGGGAGTCCAGGTCCGGCTACTATTTGTCAAGGATCGCCATCAACGGACAGCTGAAGATACACAGGTTCTCCCGTTACTACGAACCTGCGATGAAATCTCAAGGTTAGTAATTATTAACAATAACGAATCGAACAATGCATATATGCCAATAATCTACTATTTGATAAAGCTGGCCATATCTAGTTTTGGCTACGTTTATACGACTGGAGCAGATCATTAATTGCGCGCATGCGCCTTGTGTGACACGATGTTTGAGTTTGCATTGATAAAGATGATTGATTATCAAGATTTGTGGTGGATTGGAGTGGGGAGCTCTGAATCCACGGTGGCGCTCACGCATATCAACAACCAGAAGTGAAAGGTGGCCGCTGTGGTGCATATAACATGCCACAACACTCCGTAGCCATATTTGTTATTTACAACATCGGCCGGTGATCAAGCTCGACTGGAAACCAAACATAGTCTCGTTGCCAAGTGCCAAGTTTACCACCAGTCGTGAACTCGAGTGATTGATAATAGTTGCCAGATATCACGCGACGAGTAATATCTTATTTATACAATCCAAGTTAACATGCTTTCTCAAATGCTGACTACTATATATACTAGTACGTTATGTCCGTTGTCATGGTTACATGAGCTTTACGGGTGCTATTTAAACATGGTAGTAGACTCGAAAGAAAATTATATCCATAGTTACAGTATTAGGTCGAATTATATACCCTACAGAGCCTCCAACAACCCAAATTGTCATGTTTATTAGAAATGTTGATGAAATGTCAAACGTCGCGATTCAGACATCGGCAACTGCTCATGTCCGTCGGAATATACATAGCGGCAGTCAGTGAGGGTGTGAAATACGATTTCTTCTTACAGTTTTGAGATGTTTTTGAAACACCAAAGGCTATGACGTGCACATGTCAAACTTAGTTTATTGCCCTTATGGGCTGAACAAATAACCGAGATCGAACTTATTAACCAGAAATGGTTGAAAATTCATCTAAAATAAAACTGGCACTTGGGTCACAGATGGGCGAAAATCACACGTCTCATACAAATACATGGAAGTAATTTTCCATACCACCATAGACAATATAAATTTTATATCACAATGTTAGCATCGTCTTTTCTTATAGGTGCATGGACAATAATTTAAAATAAAATAACCTGGTTTTAATCAGATGGTCTCAATGTTAACAATGTTGGAGGCGTTGTCTAGATCCAAATTGAGACATTCATCCAATATTACTATATTATTTGTAAGCACGGCACACTAATACATATGCTCAGTGTATAAATCTAAACCGATCACTTTGTGAGTACATTGTACTCCAATATTAATAATTTAGGGAAGGGCAGTTTCAGATAATTTATATGACTAATATATTGACACCACACAACAAAACAGCACAGGCCACAATTGAAAAACAAGTTTGTTATTTTTGAATAAGGCAACCACACTGTACTCATTATGTGCCTAGTGCATGTCTTGTTAACTCTGAAATCAATAAAGTTGTCAATTATTGATAGGAATTTGTACGGGTAGTATGAGGTTTTCGTATATGTCGCCATATGGTCCAGTTGTCGACTCACACGTGCCTTTAAATAGAATGGCTGGAGAGCAGCCAAGCTTGGTGTAAATGAATTTAACACACGCATTAGATTTTATCAAATAAAATAACCACCAATTACATACCTGTATGTAATTATGGGAGAAGTCAGTTTTTCTGCGCGCTTTCTGCGCGGTAGCCTTGTGATGGGCCGCCTCTTGGAGACTTGAGGTCTCGGCTTGATCTCAATTGTGTTGTTTCAACCACCATTACGATTACACTCAGATATCAAGTAGTTTATTGTTTAGGTCCCCTTAACCCGTTATTCAAGACCACTGCTTTCCGTTGTTTCCGAACGACGTCATGATACGTCTCGCGACTATTATGAATATTTATAATATTTACCTCGCCACAGACTTAATATAGAAACAACTTCCAAATATATTGTTGTATTTTTAATAAAAAATAATTTCCTGAAAACTTGAAATTGTCAACCTTAAATAATACACGAGTGGGAATTCGGTTCACTAAACATCGGTGATATGCGACGTGGAGTTTGGAGAGTCGGGGGTCGCCCTTGTTTAATGTTATTTATTGACATATGTATCATTGTATCTGTCAATCCCTATTATATGTAAATGTGTTCTATTAAGACGCGACACTATTTTGGCCACGTGGTTCCACGAATAAAATGTACCACCAGAGAACACCGCTCAAAAACCACATATCCAATCCAGAATGCATATACGTGTTAGTCCTGGAACCTGTGTACATTCCCAGTACTCATAATTACCGATACACCGTGTAGTCATGTAGATCCATGATATGACTACGTGACTATAGCCCGGATAACCCCGTATATTAAATGTATATGCACCAAGCGGTGTATACATCACGTGAAATCCTCTCTGTCAGTGAAGGCAATTATTTTATTCCACACGTGTTTATGGTTCATTATTATATTATATCACGTGGTATTGTTTATGTCCCATATTTATAGTTATGACCCTTGTACACACTCCTTTCCCATGGCATATGTAAACCTGTCGATTCAATCGTGTTATGTGTCCTAGTTCTCAGATGACCTCACTATATCACTATATATATAGTACAATGTATTAAGGTCACAGACTACGTAATCAGTAACAACATACTAGTATATCTATACTAAATAGAATAAAAAATTACACTACAATTACTGATCTCTGATGTTGAAGTTCTAATAAATTAACAATGCTATGATTTGATTTTTTGTATTACGCTCTATTTCTGCAATACAACTTACATCATCGCCAAGCATTGTTAATTAATTAGGTCGTCGCTTCACAGTTATCGTGTGGACGGTCATGCCGATGGTCGGTTTAAGTAAGCTAGCGAATCGGAGGATGGGTAATCCACAAACGCAACATATTTCACAGAAGCTATTTATTTTCAATAGTTGTTTTACACGTTTCTTTTGTTGCTTTTGTGGGCAAGGATGTGACTGGTGGTCTCCCTCTTGCGCCCAGTTATGCAGTTACTTTGTTTTTATTTGAACTGAGTTTGAAAGTTTAAAAGCTTCATTTGTATATTTATTTTCGAAAATATCCATCTTAGGTAACTTCATGCGTGTTTATAGAATATTACGGCAAAATACAGTGAGGGACAGAAAGCTGGGGTTGTTATAAACATTTTATAAATCAAAATGGATGTTAGAATTCAAATTAATTCAACATTGTATCAATAAGCATGCGCCTTCGAGTCGTTTTGAATAAGAGGGTGGTCACAATTGCTAAGTCACGTGAAGGCATGCGCACGTATTATGGTCACAATTGCTAAGTCACGTGATGGCATGCGCACGTATTATGGTCACTATTGCTAAGTCACGTGATGACATGCGCACGTATTATGGTCACTATTGTTAAGTCACGTGATGGCATGCGCACGTATTATGGTCACAATTGCTAAGTCACGTGATGGCATGCGCACGTATTATGGTCGCTCTTGGATCAATTTGAATTTAAACGGTGATTAGTATTTAAAATTGTTTATAAATACGTTCACAATTAATGCCCCAGCTTTGTGTCCTTCACTGTAATTCTGTCCTTTGATTTGGCGATATAATCTTTTGCAGGATTATTAACCAATTCATTTTGAAATGGTGGAATAGTTTACCCACAATGTACAATATAGTGATGTTCCTGAAGATCTGTCTTCAATTTTAACGAAAATCTGTCACCGAACAGGCTATATAGCAAATTTTAATAGTGTTTTATCGTTTAAAAAATTGCGTGCGGTCCCATTTCGCGCGTCATATATAATAGTGTATTATACCATTATATCAATATGTCGAATGTCCAACATACATACGCCATGTGAGCAGTGAATAGCAACCATATCACTAATTGTAGATTGGTGACAAAGGGTGAAATAATTATAAGCCGTGACTGATAGAGTGCTTTTTGTTTTTTTTATTTCTATTTTCTAAAATCTTGTTTTGAATATCAGGGCATCGTTTTAAAATAGTAATTTCTTAATAATATGTGACCAATTTCTCCCATTTGGCAAATATAATACTGTAACACACAAACAAACGCTGTTTCATGTTAACATGAAATTATATTGTAAATAATATTCCAATGAACACTGTGAGGCGGTTTACGATCAGCTTTCTTTAAAAACAGTTAACTTGTCGCATGGGGGCGTTTCTGCTTTTCAAAGTGTCCTCTGAAAGGTAAGTTCATGTGAACAGTGAACAAATGTGTTACACGTAATTAAGATATTCATGTTTAAAATTTCATATTTTTGAAAAAAAATGCCTTATTTAATAGATTAAGGAAAAGCGATACTCGCTATGTGATTAAATATCTATGCACGATTTCCTTCCCGGACATTTCACACGAATTGTAAAAAGTTCAACATAAACAGCGCCATCATGCGACAGCTCAGCCTTTAAAGAAATATGGCGTCGTCAGCTCTAATCCGTATCCCTCGCCGACTTCCCCTGTTGCTGCTTGCAGACGGCGTTTTGTTGCCGGGTTCTTCCATGAGAATACCCGTGCACTCCGCCAAAAAGTAAGTACACCTCATAACTGCCATTTAATCGTACGGTACCACTAGTAAATGTTACGTTCACGTAATTGCGTGCAATGGCTGTGTTGTTATTGCATTCACTGTACATGTACGTGGAAAGTTCAGGAAGAAACCAGAATGTACTTTAACCTCAGTAGCACCGTGACAAGATACACAATGTTACGATGATTGCGTAGCGTCAAATTTAACAACAAATAAAAACAAGATTAAACTAAAAACTACGTACAGTCAAAAATGTATTACTTAAAGGATGAATAAGACACTAATACTACTTTTTTGGTGGAGCTGTTACATGTATAATTCATCACTAATTTTCATACTTCTTTATAATTTCAATGAATTGAACTTCAAAATCTTCAATTTTTTATAGCTTTTCCAGATTGCTTTGGCAGTTTACCTCCCATCCATCGTGTATGGACTAAATTAATCTAGCTAAAAAATGGGAAAGTCTAAAATTCTCTTTGCAAGTATGAATTTGACTATCTGGCATCTTCAATGAGTCACTGATCAATCTTTCCTTGGCTTGATGTAACACATAAAAATGTTAAATTTAAGTGCTAAGGTTCCCATATGACATGCACAATGTGTGGAAAATACAAATCAATCTGCTAAAACTAAACACAGTAAATATTTCACCTTCTAATGTGCTTTCTTTGGTTTCTTGCAGCATGCATATGGTTAAGAATCATTTGTTGAAGTCCAGTAGTTTGAGTAACACTATTATTGGTGTCATTACAAAGGAGCGGGACAGTCAGGTTGTGTATACATCCCGTACATAACAGTGTCATCTGTCGGCTACAATGTCAGCAAGCAAGAACATTAGATTGATTAGATTTTCATGCACTTTCATACTTGATTATTTTGACAAATTATTTTATGTTTACTTCAGCAAGCACCAAGGAATTGCTGTATTGTCAATTAAAGTTGTATATGAGTATTTGGATAAATATTTGGATAAAAAATTAGAATTTGGTCCATGTCATATTTGGTATCTTGCCAGAAAATTGTTTGATTTTGTTTTTCATAATTTTGTCACTTTTTCAAATTTATTCTTATATTTTTTTACACTAGTATGTGTTTTGGAAGCGACTGAGCAACCAGTCCTTGGTTTGTTTAATCTTTATAATCAGTACATCAGTGGGGTATAGTTTTCATCATAATATATTTGACAACTTGCAATTGGCTTAAAGTGAACATGTGACTTGAATTAGCCAATTGTAGCATTTGTTATATATTTACAGGATGAAGATGCAAGTGGCTTGCATTCCATTGGTACAGCTGCTGTTGTTGTTCAGGTAACCGGTACTAATTGGCCTCGACCAGCTTACACACTACTTCTGACTGGACTATGTAGATTTAAACTGGATAAATTGTTACAGCAGTCTCCTTATCCAATCGCTGCAGTTAGTCAATTGGATAGGTTCCCAGGTGATAATGAACCAGGTATGGTAATTTTCTGTTAGTGAGAGTGGAGTCAAATATTGTTGATATCTGCCAGTTTTTAGAGATCTGCTAAAAGTCAGTTGAACATTTACAGGCAAGGTAGTGAATTAAAGCAATTGTTACCATCGTCAACAATGTTTATGTTTTTTAAGTTTTTACTATGAATAGCACACAATGTATGATAAACAACTAGCAGAGAACAGAAGAGCGATAAGAGTATAAGAGTAGAATGCATACATGCACAGTTCTGACATTAGTGCCATCTTGGTGCAACATATTCAAGTGTATTTCATTAAATTTGGACCCAAATGAACCATTTTCAGTTGGTGATTTGACTGATAATTTTCTAGAATACAAACTGTTGTAATTATATATAAGTTTTTAGAGATCTGCTAAAAGTCAGTTGAACATTTACAGGCAAGGTAGTGAATTAAAGCAATTGTTACCATCGTCAACAATATTTATGTTTTTTAAGTTTTTACTATGAATAGCACACAATGTATGATAAACAACTAGCAGAGAACAGAAGAGCGATAAGAGTATAAGAGTAGAATGCATACATGCACAGTTCTGACATTAGTGCCATCTTGGTGCAACGTATTCAAGTGTATTTCATTAAATTTGGACCCAAATGAACCATTTTCAGTTGGTGATTTGACTGATAATTTTCTAGAATACAAACTGTTGTAATTATATATAAGTTTTTAGAGATCTGCTAAAAGTCAGTTGAACATTTACAGGCAAGGTAGTGAATTAAAGCAATTGTTACCATCGTCAACAATGTTTATGTTTTTTAAGTTTTTACTATGAATAGCACACAATGTATGATAAACAACTAGCAGAGAACAGAAGAGCGATAAGAGTATAAGAGTAGAATGCATACATGCACAGTTCTGACATTAGTGCCATCTTGGTGCAACATATTCAAGTGTATTTCATTAAATTTGGACCCAAATGAACCATTTTCAGTTGGTGATTTGACTGATAATTTTCTAGAATACAAACTGTTGTAATTATATATACCCGGTAGTACTGTAACATTTCATGTTAATGAGAAATTATAGCTCAGTGATTGTACATAATACTTCCAATGAACATTATGAAGTAGTTTACAAAGTGGTTTGTATATTACAGTGCCATCTTTGTGCAACATATTCTTGTGGACAAAATAATTAATTTCCAATCAGCTACAGATTTAGATCAGAATTTGTTTAAATAATAACACCATTTCTTTTGTGAGGAAGGTGAGAAATATTGATGTGGTGTTTATAATGTCAAAGGTCAATTTTACCATTATCACAACTTTCAATGAATTTAACCATTCCAGACATCCTGTAATTTTTATGTGTAAACCTTATTAACATTTGTTTAGAATGTCAATTAGAATTATGTCATGTAATTAATTGTTCATGAAGACGTATCAGACAAATGAATGAGTATTATAAAACAAAACATAAAATAGCAATAGACGTATTTATAACTGTTTTGAATTAATTTTGCAAGAGTTTTGGTAAGAAATAATTTTCTTTGTGATTCACAACAACAAATCATTGTAAACCAACCACTGCTATGGACACTGAAATTGTGATTGTTATTCAACTATTTTCAGTCGGTGATTTCAGTGACGATGAATTGGCAGCGTTGACTGATAATTTTCTAGAACATGCTAATAAGTTGGTTGACATGTTGGATATTAGTATACCTATAGTCGCTAAATTAAAGGTAAGTATCAAGTTACAAATAGTATTCTTTGATGTAAATTATCTTATTTGTAAGATTTCTAGTTGTTACCTCAAACAAACCACCATTGAATGTTACCATCTGCTGTGTTTTTGTTGAGTAGGTTTGTGTGGCTTTAATATTATTTTGCCGCATAACTTTGCATATTCAGCAGCTAATTTGCATACATAATTTCTATTGTGTACTGTGATCTCTTCAATTTTATAAATAATGACAAACTGTGATAAATAGGTATCATATATGATTCCCCATGAATTCTAAAATCAAAGAAAGCTTAGAAAGAACTCCCATGTGCTGAGAGTATTGGAGACACATTAAATATAATTCGAAATTACTTAGCTGTAAATTAATTATGCAAATCAGAAAATTAATATGACCAGATTTGAGTGTAAAACTAATGAGGTCTGCGCAATGTAACAGAAAATCTATGTCTCCAAGTTTAATTGAAATGTGATTAGAACCAAAAAATTATGAATTATTATGCTTATTAGGGAATTAATATGAACAGATTTTTACCCCAAACTAATTAGGTTTGTACATTTGTACTAAGTTTCATTGAAATGATATAACCCTAGAAAACCCTAAGCTTATAACACGCTGTAGGGGTGCTCGTGAAATGTACACTTATAACACGCTGTAGGGATGCTCGTGAAATGTACACTTATAACACGCTGTAGGGGTGCTCATGAAATGTACACTTATAACACGCTGTAGGGATGCTCGTGAAATGTACACTTATAACAGCTGTAGGGGTGCTCGTGAAATGTACACTTATAACACGCTGTAGGGGTGCTCGTGAAATGTACACTTATAACACGCTGTAGGGGTGCTCGTAAAATGTACACTTTTTTTGTTTACAGAGGATGTTGGATAGTGTGCCAGCCCAAAACTTGCCAGATATATTTGCGTCAATTATCAAGACATCATTCAATGAAAAACTGCAGGTATGCGAGGAATCCATCATTTTGTTATTGAATTTCATTCTTTTTATCAAATAAGAAAAAGATTATCTAGCATTTAATATTGCAGTCATGGCCATGTTGGTTGTAGTACTTATTTGTTGTATAATGCAGTGTATCCCCTGGGCATATTTTCACAGAAGAAGTGAGTGACAATACAGCATGGATGTGAAGGCTCATTTATGAAAAGAACTTCAATACCCCAACACACATTAGTCAAGGCCATGGCAGTCTGTTATTATTACATATGTTGCCAAACTTTAAGAAAATTGCTTGGAAAGTCATGATTGAAGATGTTTGTATCAGTACACAAAAAAACAGTGACCTATTTTGTAAGAACTTGTTCAAAGAAAGATAGTTGCCTTGTTTATTTACTGCCGGTCATTTATACAATATTAAGTCAATATTACTTTAATATTATTTACTACCATAAAATCTGTATTAGAAGCCGCATCCCTAATATCCCATTCTTTTTGAATAATTGTAAATGAAAAAATCACAATTTCTCATTTATGTAGATTTTCTAATAGAAACCACATCTTCTCTGTTGCATTGAACCATTTTAAGAAAAACCACAGCTTGTAATACAAATTTTACAGTAATAATCAAATATGGATAATAATTGGCAACTTAACCTTTGACCCGTAAATTAGAACTGGGCGTGCCCTGACTTATGATGAGTAAACCACCAGGGAAATTAGACTTAGAAAGATAGACAACCACATAGAGTGTTATTTATGTGAACAATTATACTATATATAATTACAGTTTGTATTCTGAAAAAACCTTTGAATCATGAAAATGAATGTTACTCGATTAAAAAAATGTCATTATTGTACCTCAGTAATGAATATTTGTCCTTCACAAAATTTTAATTAATTCTCTCTATATTCCGTTATTTTTTGTAGATTCTAGATGCAGTAGATTTAGCGGAACGGTTTAAGAAGACGCTACCGCTTCTAGTACGCCAAATAGAAGGCTTGAAATTACTCAAGCAATCAAGGAAAAATAACGATGATGAGTTTCTGGCTTTTAAAAAAACCTCAAGAAAACCATACATCATAAGAAGTTCTAAAAATTTCCATTTAGACCCAGAGGATGATGATGGAGATGGCGATGAAATGGTGGATTTAGAACAGAGACTTAAGTGAGTGATCAAATATGTGAGCAAGTTATTTTTGCTTCCTGTGTGAGAAGCGCTATAGGGAGTTGAGTTTATCCAGTCTCTATGTGTATCTGTTCCACCAATATCTCAAGAACAACTTGTCAAATTTTGATGGCATATGATACATGGGTGTTTTGGAATCAACAATACATGATGAATTGTCTGTGTATTAAATTAGCTAAATTAGCATGGTAGATTTAATTTAAAAAAAACAAACATATTCACTCTATTAGAAGTGCAGCTCTGTCACAGTTCAAGTTGCATTTATTGTGTCTGTATAATAAAGCAAATACGGGACATGTACCTAGCACATATGTAACTGTAAAAGTTTTCAACCATACCGTCACTGGTAGCATAGTGGTTGTTGCATTAACCTCATGATTAGTGGCATTCAAATCTTACCTTGGGTGTTGAAAACTAAAAAGGTTTGACATCAACCATTGGTGAGTGTGCCACAGACTCAATGGGAAGGCTGAATTCACTGACTCCAGACTTTCGGGGAACCTTGGTTAATGTCTGCTGGTGCTTGTGTACAACCGGGCATGTGCAATAAAATAATGATAGAAAGATACTCATACAGCCCTGTCACATAGTTCAAGTTTAAGGTACGCACCATGCTCATATTACACAGGTACACTCTTGTGCCGAGATAAGATGATTATTAAGTAACTCAGACTTGCACAGACTGAATTACAGGAGTATGTTATTTTATTTGTTCTTTACATCCTGCATGGCAATACCATATATACCATGTACCGGGATATACAGTTATTAATGCTAGTTGTCTCACAAATTATTATTTTTCAGGGCTGCCAACTTACCTGAACATGCCAAGAAAGCTGCCCAAAAGGAATTGAAGCGACTAAAGAAAATGCCATCATCCATGCCGGATTACAGCTTAACCAGGAATTATTTAGAGCTAATGTCTGAGTTACCATGGTCTAAGGAGACGACTGACAATCTCAGTATTGCACAGGCCAGGTGGGTAGATGGGAGAAGTTACTGTCTGTGAAACAACTCATCAATTCAATTTAGTAATTTAGAGAATCTCAGCTGAAATATCTGTCACATCTGGGAAAAGACTTTCACTGCCTGATCGTTTTTTAATTTCGTTATAAAATAAAAATTTAATGATAAGAATTTGTACAAGTATTTATTTATTGCTTTCCTAGGCCACCGGCCCATATACAAACATATCAAAACAATGCTTAAAGTGTAACAGGTACAAGTAGAATATGATGCTATTCTCGGTTATAGATCACACGGAATTAAATAATAATTAATTTGTTTACAATTGTTTCCTAACTTCAAATGCTCTGAACGCAAACACACAGATATTCCATAGAATATCACCATTTGTTGCTTGAACAAGCCTTTGAAATTTATCCATAGTTGATTGGAAGAATTGCATTTGCTTTGCACAAAGCAATTCGATTATTCATACAGACATTTGATTTATATATACAAAAACTCAACTTGAACATTTATATTATTTCTATGAGGATCAAGTTATAAGAGAAGAGAGTAACATTTTACCACTATAACAACCATTTTATTTTTCAAAATGTGTTCTTGCCATACATTGACAAGACAAGGTGGATGCATTGTAAACTTGCTACATCATAGTTCTCTGTCTTTGCATTAGACTGGATTTAGACGCTGATCACTATGGTTTGGACAAATTAAAGAAACGTGTTATCGAATACCTTGCTGTACGACAAATAAAGAATTCACTGAAGGGACCCATACTGTGTTTTGTTGGACCACCTGGTGTTGGTAAAACTAGTGTTGGCAAGTCTGTAGCCAAGACTTTAGGAAGGGAGTTTCATAGGTAAGTTTTTGATCAGTTTTCATCATAGTTTAGTCTCCAAATGTGGTATTTCATCAGGTTATAATCTGAGAGGTCTACCTATATTACCAATATGTATAATATCAAATCAATCAGACTTGCGTTTTTTAACAAGAAATCAAAAATATAACTTTATATCAAAAATGACAAAAATATTCATCAAAATTAGAGAATTGAAAATATCATCACGAAATGAACAAATCTGAGAGAGATCCACCTGTAGTACTTCTATACTAGTATATATAATATCAAAGTAATCGAAAAATATCACTTTTTACCAAACAATTTTCCATCAAATTTTAGTCAACTGCAGTCTCTAAATGTAATATTTCATAAAGGTTTAATCAAATGCAGTCTCTAAATGTAATATTCCATCAAGGTTTAATCAAATGCAGTCTCTAAATGTAATATTTCATAAAGGTTTAATCAAATTGAGTCTCTAAATGTAATATTTCATTAAGGTTTAATCAAATTGAGTCTCTAAATGTGATATTTCATTAAGGTTTAATCAAATGCAGTCTCTAAGTGTAATATTTCATCAAGGTTTAATCAAATGCAGTCTCTAAATGTGATATTCCATCAAGGTTTAATAACTTAACATGATACGTTTATAGGATATCTCTTGGTGGTGTTTGTGATCAGAGTGATATCCGTGGTCATCGACGTACGTACATTGGTTCAATGCCTGGTCGTATTATACAAGGACTGAAGACAGTCGGAGTCAGTAATCCTGTTTTCCTGTTGGATGAAATTGATAAACTGGTCAGACATCCTTTACTTTCATTTTTCATACCAAAACCCTGATGTAATTCCATTTTTAGTCCCTGTTCGAACGAAGTCCGAAAACGGGGACTATTAATTAGGGTTCGTTCCGTCTGTACGTACGTCCATCCGTACGTCCGGAGCTATATCTCAGACACCCATTGATGGATTTCATTCAAACTTTATATGAAGACAATACATAATGTCTTACATATGCACGTCAAGTTACTTTATGATCGGAGCAAAAATAGCCGACTGGCAGCCATTTTGGATGTAAAATTTGCTATTTCTGATACCTAAACGTGTCCGCAGCAGTTTCTCAGAAATGACTAGGCCGATTAGGATCAAAGTTGGTATGATGATCATACATATTGGATTGTAGGTGCACTTCATTTTTTTTTCATGATTTAAACAAATATGGCCGACTGGCGGCCATCTTGTTTTTCATGGTACCCATGCTACTTTATCTTGAATGCAATGAATGTTTCTCTTTAAATTTTGTACAAAGATAGTATACCAAGAGTTACATCTGCACCATCATTATTTTTGTGATTCGATTCAATATGGATGACTGACGCCCAAATTTCATGTAAAAGTGCTAAATCGTCATTTTTACATGTCCGGAGCTGTTTCTCAGAGGTGACTAGATCGATTTAGATCAAAGCTGGTATGGTGATCATAAATATTGGGTTATAGGTGCAGGTCATTTTTTTGTGTGATTCAAACAAATATGGCTGACTGGCAGCCATTTTGTTTTTCATTGTACCCATGCTACTTTCTCTTGAATGCAATGAACGTTTCTCTTTAAATTTTGTACAAAGATAGTATACCAAGGGATACATGCGCACCAACATTATTTTTGTGATTCGATTCAATATGGCCGGCCAATGCCCAATTTTCATGTAAAGTGCTAAATCGTAATTTTTACATGTCCAAAGCTGTTTCTCAGAGATGACTGGGCGGATTTGGATCAAAGTTGGTATGATGATCATACATATTGGGTTATAGTTGCATGTCATATTTTTTCTGTAATTCAAACTAATATGGCTGACTGGTGGCCATTTTGTTTTTCATGATACCCTTGCCTACTTTCCCATGAATGCAATGAACATTTATGTTTAAATTTTGTACAAAAACAGTATACCAATAGATACATGAACATTATTTTTGTAATTTGATTCAATATGACTACCCAATGTTCAATTCTCGTGTAAAAGCACTAAATCATAATGTTTTACAAATCCATCTCCTATTAATGGTTTCAATCTAATCTCAATGACTTCATCAGCATCAAATTGATATGTCAGATCACAAAATTTTGGACAGGGACTGTGTCATTAACAAATGACTTGTTAAATTAAAAAAAATGATCTTATTTTTTTAGTGGCTGCAGCTTTTGATAAAATTGTTGAAAAAATATGAGAAAAGTGATGTGTGTTTATTTTGTGACTAAAGTTGACAAAGTGTTGATTCCTAACTGAATGAATGGTCATGTGCAGCATGTGTCTGTCTGTATTGATGTATGTATCAACTTATCTAAAACTTGTATTCACATTATTGTTGATCATCATCACCATGCAATGAAAATAAAACATTGATGTTGTTTTTTTGTTTCAGAATAAAAGTTTACAAGGTGATCCTGCAGCAGCTTTGTTGGAAGTTCTTGATCCTGAACAGAACAGCACATTTGTAGATCAGTATCCTTTTATCATCATCCATTACCATATTGTGGAACATTAGCGATCATATCTCTCCACTTCCTACAGTCATATGTTGCATCTTATCAATCACTTATGCTACTTGCTTATCAACAATTTTTACCATATCTGAAATGATTTCTTCTGCATATTCTGTTGTGACCAGTGTTTTCATGTTTTGGTATCTACCGGGTATTCATATTCTCACTTACTACATGTACTGTTTTCTCTCAATTAGTAGTGCACACGGTTATCTGTATGGTCAAAATAAGTCATATTTTAATTTTCCCACATACAATAAATACAATTTTGGGTTTATGTGCACTCCTAAACACGAAATATCACGTATTTATCCTTGACCCACTATGATAGTTACCTTAATGTGCAATTTGATTTATCTAAAGTGTTATTCATAGCAACTGCCAACAGCATGTCTACTATACCCGCTGCATTGCTGGATAGAATGGAGGTGATCCATGTGGCTGGATACACCCAGGAAGAGAAAGTTCACATAGGTGTCAGACATCTCATACCTAAACAACTCAAAGAGCATGGATTGAATGCTGAACAGTTACAGTTTCCTGAGGATACTATTAAAATGATCAGTAAGTATTAAGTAGTACACTGAAAGATGTCTCAACTGAACACCTCTTCCTGCGTCTTCTTTATAGCCTTGCAAAATATAAACATATTGATAAACACCAAACTACTGTAAAATACTTGAGTGTGTATGAATTTTGGGAAATTTCAATTTAACTGAGTGGAAAAAATCTTCTAAAAAAACAATTGTGAAAACACAAATTAGTTACATCAGCTAAAATAAGCATGCTATCTACTCTGACCCATATCATGGATTTTCCGTAGCCACTTAGGTGGTCCTGTTGTAGAGAATTTTCTTAGCCACTTAGCCTGTCTTGTTTTACAGCATTTAGCCTGGCCTGTTTTTACAACATTTTATTCTTTTGTTTTTTTCAGCATTTTGTCCTCTTTGGTAAACAACATTTTTTTAATCCCTTTAGCTGTTTGGAAAAGCAGTTATTGTTTATGATCATTCAGTGTGTTACACCTTTCTAGTTTGGTATTTTGAGGTCAAGAGGTACATTGTATCATCATTTAACCAACACTTTGTTTTCTTGTCTTCTTCTTCTTCTCCTCAGTTGCTCGCTACACTCGTGAAGCTGGGGTGAGATCACTGGAGAGGAAACTCGCTGCCGTATGCCGAGCTGTAGCTGTCAAAGTGGCTGAGAACATGACCATTAAGACAAAGAATGGGAAACAGGATCTTGAGAAAGAAAATGTAGAACCAGAGAAGGAACCTTTGTCTATAGATGAAAAGGAGTCGTTGAGTTCAGCAGCTACACTAGCCCATCCACCTGACATGCCTATTGTGATAGATGAACATGCACTGCAGGATATTCTAGGGGTGGGTGAGATGTGTCATGTTTTCTATCTTCAGATTACTGTAAAAACTCAATAATTCTGAACACTAATAATTATTTTGGAAAATTGGTCAAATTGGGTTGCAGGTGAACATTGTATTTTTTTCCAGCTATCAGCCATTTTTCTTTGAATCTTGGAAAAAATACGAGTGTTCACCTGTAATCCTATATGCATGATCATGAAATCAGGGTCATATCTCTGTGAAATGATTCTGGACAAGTATCAGAATTTAACAAATTTGAGGACCAAAATGGCAGCCAGTCAGCCATATTATATCAAATGGTAAAGAAAACCAATGTGCCTATTGCAAGTCATTATACATGGTCTTGTAAAGTTTAAATGTGATCAATCTAACATGTCTGAGAATTAAATCCGGACTGACAGAACTTAAATTAATAGTCCCTGATTGCTAACAAAGTCTGACTCTAAAAACACTATGCAACAAAATCAACAACTGATGGTACTCAGTCTTTGATAATAATGAAATTCACTTTTAAAATAGTTGAAAGGACATATTTGATGACAGTGTCACTTTATAGCGTTATATATATAATATATAAAAAATGTTTTTTTTAAATGAAATTAAACGTGCATGATGACTGGGACATTTTAAATATACAGCTCCTATAATATTACCTTGTAGAGTGTAACCATGGTAACCAGCAAAGTTACTTTGAAAATCTGAAGCAGAATTTGTTCCCCACTGCTTTCATAGAAGCACCACAGTTGCTGTTTACTGAGCCCATGTTTGTTTTTATGTGTGTCGTCACATTTGATTAAACCTTGATGGAATACCGGTAACACATGATGAACATGAAAATTCATTGTTGTATTGTCTTAAAGGCAATGTTTTCAAATACATGTCCCTGTTGGCTCTTCAATATCTTGTTTTGTTCTGCTTGTACAGCCACCAATGTTTGAAAATGAAACCTCAGAAAGACTTGGACAACCTGGAGTGGCAATAGGTAAGAAACATTGTACAATCTATATTGCAGATGTGATAGAACAGTCCAGTGAGGCAATGATGGGCTGTACTATATCTGTGAAAAATTTAACTGTTATTTACACTGACTTGGAAAAATTCTTCTTTCAGGAAAGGGATTTACAGTATCTGACAGTTTGTATTAAATCTGTAATCATTATCACATGCACAAGCCAAGTTATTCCCTGTAGAACAGAAAATATGGCTTTTATACCCTATAGTCATCAGTTTTACAAATATGGAACTATTTTCATGGTGTTCCAGTTCTCAAAATAAACAGAAATTATAGTTGTGTTTTTGCCATTAATGGAATAACATGAAGACATTTTGTTACAAACTACCTGTACATGCATTTTCAATCAAATACCTACGTGTATTGGTGAGCCACTGCTGAACACAGTGTCCAATCTTCAAAAACGTATCGTCTGTCCGTGTGATGACGCACGTCACCATGGAAACACCACAAGCCTTTGCAAGCTATGGCAGATTTCTCAGTTTTACTGCCTTCGTAAAGAATAACGCAGGAGAGTAATTAGTGTCCATGGTTCACAATATACTAATATTGTATTGATAAAGTTGAGTAAGATAATGTTGCAAATTGTTTTACAGGTTTAGCATGGACAGAAGTAGGTGGTCAAATTATGTTTGTTGAAGCCACTAAAATGGACGGTGATGGAAATTTGACATTGACCGGACAGTTAGGAGATGTCATGAAGGAATCTGCTAGAATTGCATTGAATTGGGTCCGGAGTAATGCTACCCGGGTAAGAATTGACACTGGATATTCTGGTCTACTCACAACTTACTACCGGTAATATTTGTTATTTCATATATACAATAACTATAAATGTAAATTTTTGGGGTGATCACTATAACATTTGTTTATTTCAGTGCGCTATTAAAGTATCGACTGGCACAGACCTTATGGAGAATACAGACATACATATTCATTTCCCCGCTGGTTCTATTAGTAAAGATGGTCCATCTGCTGGCGTCACTGTGGTCAGTGTACTTGTCTCATTATTTAGGTAAGGCATTTTTAATACTGCCCTCTAGTTGCAATCACAATGAATTATGAGATGAAGATACAGCTACCGTCACCGTCCCTCAACACCTTTTTTGAGGGACGGTGCTATTGTTTGTTTTGAAACTTCAGCGATAAGTTCCTATACAATGTTTATTACAGTGGTCGGTGTGTTCGCTCGGATACCGCAATGACTGGTGAAGTTACTCTACGTGGACTTGTGCTGCCTGTAAGTTATGTTAACTAGATTCTTCATCCTTATAACATCAAATGGAAAATAAAAAAAAAAATTACAATATTTTTACTTTTAATTAAGTAGCATTCTAACTTATTCTTTGATTGACTAGTTGTCTGCCTGCTCCAATATCTCAAGAATCATAGAACATAATTGCTCTTTGATAAGTAGAAATCCTGTCAGCTGTTTCAATGATATCCCAAGAGCCATTTAAATTAACTTGATTTGTGGACTTGGGTGATTAGTTTACGGTGAAATTTGTGCATAATAATTACCTAATTTACATATATTAGCTGTTCAACAGGTTATATCAAGATCCACTTTAGTATTATATGTTAGTATTATACATTTCTTTATCTGATTTCACTGGGTTTAATGCTATAGGAAAATTGCCAAGTGATTGTCTCCATGGAAACAAGTTTCCTCTGGGCCAAAATATTAACAAGTTGTATTTTTAAAATTTACATAGATAGATCCTTGCTTCAGTATCATGCAATTCATTAATTAACATCCTCACGAACAAAACTAATATATAAATAACAGGTGTCTATGGGTCATATTTTGATGATTGTATGCAATTCTATTGGAGCAAATATAGTACATAAAATTTGACGAGGTCGTATAGAATCCCTGCCATCAACTTATTTGTCAGCATTACTTTACTATGTGAGAAATGTATTTCTACTTATATAACATTTATTAATTTGAAAGGTTGGTGGAATCAAAGACAAAGTGCTAGCTGCTCATCGTACTGGTCTAAAAAGAGTTGTATTGCCAAAGAGAAATGAAAAAGACCTTCAAGAAATACCCACAAATGTCAAGGTAAAGAAAATTCAGAAATATTCTTGACTTCATGATGTATCAATATTTGTTCACACAGGACAATCATAACATGTTAAGTTCTCAGAACTCATTAAATCAATCCTGCTCTGGTGCCAGAATGCATCATGAGCTTTTATTGTGTAAAGTTACAGTCCAGCCCTTCATATCTAATGCATTTCATTCTTTTACAGAACGACTTAGACTTTGTGTTCGTCACTAAATTAGAAGATGTTTTACAAGCTGTGTTTGAAGGTGGATATCCAGAACTGAATGCAAATGTCCCCAGCACACAAAGCAAACTGTGATATATTTCAAAGCGCCAAGATTGGGGTGTTGCAATAATATTAGATGCAAGGTTTTAAGTACAACTCACAATGTACATTACAATCACTTGTAATTGGTTATATGGTAAATCCTTTCTTTTATAGCATTTAAAAAGGTAACTGTAGTGTAATGACATATATAACAGTATCAGATAGTACTTCAGTCAAATCACAGCACAAATCCGGATTAAAACAAATGGCATTAATCAAGAGATCAATAGCTAGGGTGACAATATAATTGTAGGAAGTTTGAACATGTTCTAGTCTAGTCTATTGCACTTATCATATTTATCAACAGTAATGATCCTGTTTCTAGTAATAAATTCGTTGGCATAATCACTTGTTGACACCAAATATCAGGTTAATAATCTATATTACGTTTGACAATATAGATTCAAGATTACACCTGAGTATGTGGCAGTTTCACATTTTAAGTATATCATTTGTAATTGACTCGTACTGGACCAATGATGAGAGAAAAAAAGTGATTTTTAAATAAAATAACAGTTTAAATCCACAATTGTGTGTTTTTTATAATGAATCGATTTACCAATGCTACACATACATGCACTGTGGAGATTGTATACATTCACAGCGGTAATCAATAGCTGATGAGGGTATCACAAAAAATAATGTCCCTACATCTAGAAGAGCTCCAAGCAAAAAGGAACATTAGTTCTTTGTTTAAAAATGTGCACAAAAGATATTAATAATTCATATAAAACATATCACCTCAATTAGAATATGTAAGTTTAATTGTCATTACAGCTCACCCAAATAAGAATATCATACATATAAGCAAAAGTTTGCCAGGAAAAACAATGTTGACCACCGCTACACATAAGAATATCTACATGTATAATCATTTGATTTCGCAATACCCTATTAGAGCAAAGTCTTTGGTCATGTGACTTCACAATATGATGCTATTTATGCTGGTTATCATGATTGTATTTATCTGAAACTCTATTATGAAAACGTTTACCGAATGCTACATAGTCTTTTGGATTAAACCAACCCTGCAAAAAAAAAAAAGAAAGAATAAACATTACCTTAAGGCTAAAAAAAAATGTTTTTTTCTGGTCAAGAGAGAGTGGTGACATGCCTTACATTTCTCATTAATTATTAAAACATGCATACAAACAAATTTAATCTTGTCTTTCAGGGGTTAAAGTTGATTTCAATTACTGTGTAAAAATCACACTTTTGAGTTGTTTCTTTTTTTTCTCTTACAAACTTTTGTACTATTGTAGAAAACTAAAAGTCTCCTAAAATCAGTGTTCCAAATTTGGTACTGAGCAAATTTATACTGTGTACTTTATTTGGTCTATAAAAACCAAAATCGTAATTGTTGTAAACTGAATCGCTAATTACTTATTTTCATCAGAGAAACATCTCTGTAATTTATGTATATACCGGTAAGATTCGAACATAAAAATATCATACAATAAGGGTTCTTATACCTGAGGTACAATTATATGAAGCCAGTCTTCTTTCTGGTCTTTGAAAACTTCTGGTAATTCTGAGATGCAAGGAGTCTGGGCTAACTCTAGCAACCTGTCTCGACTATATGTGATGCGCCTCTCACTGTAGTCTGGAATGTCCTTTACATTCAACAAACTCTGTAAAATTGAAATTGTGTCATCACTACAGAAATATATTTAACAAAATGCAGAACACTTACTGATAATAAATCCAGTTGTCACAATACTGTTATAACTGATTAGTAAGGGTTGGAGCAACTTCACTGGGTTTTAAAGTTTATGAATTTGGTAGTGAAACAAAAAGTTCTACTGTTATTTTACATGATCACATGGATTTAATTTAAGTTAGCGATTTCAGATTTTCAATGAAAATAGCAAGTGTTGTGTTTTTCATACCTTGTCATCTGGACATGTATGTTCAGAGGCGGCGGCCATCTTGGATGAAATGGAAGACTGAACCAACTGCCTTTGCAACTCATCACCTACAAACAATGAATGATGTGTACATATTTTAGCACAGATAGCAGTGACAATATTTAATGTCAAGACTAGTCATGATTAATTCTTTTTCATTATTAGTGATCATGAGAACATGCATTGCATCAATGCTTTATTTGATATTAAAGACTGATTATTAGAGATTTAGCTTAGCATATCACACAACAGTATAGCTCTAACTCTAGCTAATTGTGTAACCTCCAACTCTAGTTGATAAGCTAATTGTGTAACCTCTAACTCTAGCCATTATGCTAATTGTGTAACCTCTAACTCTAGCCGATAAGCTAATTGTGTAACCTCTAACTCTAGCCGATAAGCTAATTGTGTAACCTCTAACTCTAGCCGATAAGCTAATTGTGTAACCTCTAACTCTAGCCATTATGCTAATTGTGTAACTTCTAACTCTAGCCATTATGCTAATTGTGTAACCTCTAACTCTAGCCATTATGCTAATTGTGTAACCTCTAACTCTAGCCATTATGCTAATTGTGTAACTTCTAACTAACTCTAGCCATTATGCTAATTGTGTAACCTCTAACTCTAGCCATTATGCTAATTGTGTAACCTCTAACTCTAGCCGATAAGCTAATTGTGTAACCTCTAACTCTAGCCGATAAGCTAATTGTGTAACCTCTAACTCTAGCCGTTATGCTAATTGTGTAACCTCTAACTCTAGCAGATAAGCTAATTGTGTAACCTCTAACTCTAGCCGATAAGCTAATTGTGTAACCTCTAACTCTAGCCATTATGCTAATTGTGTAACCTCTAACTCTAGCCATTATGCTAATTGTGTAACTTCTAACTCTAGCCGTTATGCTAATTGTGTAACCTCTAACTCTAGCCATTATGCTAATTGTGTAACCTCTAACTCTAGCCGTTATGCTAATTCTATGACCTCTTAGTCTTCGCTGGTTCCCAGCATCCATTGCGAATTGCAAGTAGGGCGCAGGTAACTAGTGTTTGCCAAATTGTTCCACTGGGCCGGGATTCCGGTCCAAAGGCATGTGACGGTAACCCGCCAGCCTCTAACTCTCGCTGCTATGTTAATTGTGTCACCTCTTACTCAAGCCTTAATGCTAATTATGTGACCTCCAACTCTCACTGTGATACTAATTATATGATCTCTTACTCTAACTGTTATGAAATTACAGTATTATATTCACAACAAAATTGAAGCCTTTTACATTGACACTTCTGACGTCCCAAGATAATAATAATAACTTTATGACACTACTATGCCATCAAAGGGTGCAGTATGGTAAATAAAATAAAATACAAATAATAAAAAATACAGCAAGTAAACTATAATAAGATGCTAAAAGCTTAATAGGAAAAAATTTAATGTTAATTACAGGATTCTCCCAATGTAGAGGCGATAGCTTTGATATACATATACTTGATTTCTGTTTTGCCTAATTTAGAAACTTTGCTAAGGGTATAAAAAGCCTTATCAGCACGTCATTATTTTAATGAAATTGTCTGTTTTATTTAGTTTATTGTTAATTCCTATTTCTTGAAACAGCTCTCCTCTTTCTTTATCGAGAAATTCACAATCTAGGATAAAATGTTGTTCGTCCTCAACTGAATTTGACATTTTTTTCAAAATCACTCTTCTGCAGGAAGTTGTAGTCACTAAGCCTAAATTTACTCACAATTTTCCGAAGGCTGAAGTTTGTTATTTCGGTTAGGTATGTTTCTATTTTCAAATATGATTTAAACAATTTATATATTCTCATTTTATTGTCATATTTATCATTTTTACTGTGAGGAAAATTTAAGCTTTCTTTTCATAATCTTTTGTGAGTTTTATTTTAACAACATTGATATTGAGATGTGCAAGTAATAGTGAAATCTAGTGGAAACAAACGTCATGAAAAACAAAAGTATTTTCAAAAAACAAAAATAAAATTTAAACATACTTGTACTAGCATTTGTGATAGCAAATAATTGTCTTCTAGTAGCAGCATATTTGTCAGCACTAAGAGTAACTTTGTGCACATATGGACAGGTGGTTGGACCATATGGCTCTCTGATAACAGCAATCGCCTTGCCCTGTACAACTTGTTTCTCGGCTAAAATGAATTAAATAAAATAATGCAAGTGAAATATTGTATGAACATGTACACAAGACAGAGCACGTTACCCCCCCCCCCCCCATGACCAATATCACACCTACCTACATGTAACTCATAATTTCAATTTTTCATAAATCAAGGTGGTTTTTGATCACTGAAAATGTGATGGAAGAGTGGGAGGAAAACCAACTGTATTACAAATACTTTAATAATCAAGATAACAGCATGAATTTCATCATCTTTACCAATCAAGGTTTGTTTATTCAGTAGTGTATGTTTAAGACCTACTGTGCTATGCAACTCTGATTTGCTGCATGATTTAGATTTAGATTGCGTCTGCGCCTGCAATCAGATCTATACAAAACCTCTTGGTAGAACATCATAATATTCCACTCCATGTGAGATCATTTAGTACCATCCACAAAGGTCATTTATAAAATTTGTGAAATGAAAAATTAAGCTTATGGCCCTTTAATGATTTAAAACTTTGAATAATCCCAAATGATGTGTCAACAAACCTATTTTCTTTTTCAAACACCTTCGTCCTCTGACACCACCATCCAGTTGGACGACGTCCATGTCATTTTCTTGCATTATCGTTTTTTGATCACAAACAGCCTTGTTATCGCCAGTCGACAAATTATCTTGAATGTCTTGATTGTTAGTGAGGTCACTGAAATTTTGTTGGACTACATTGTCTTGATGACAGATACTGTCATTGCTATTCAGTAGCAATGCATCCTGCTGGCTGAAGTAGTCATCATCGTCGTTGTCGTCAAGTGGCATACTTGCGTACTTTCTAAGGTACTCTTCCAGCTCCAACTCATCACTTTTTGTAAATATTTCTGCACCAAATGAGTCCAACGCATCAGTGGGTATCCTGTCACCAGTTTCAGATTCGTCAATGCATGAATTAACAGATGTGATTGGAGGGTTTATGTTTATATTTTGTGTTTGTAATGCTAGGCTATCCATAGGAGAAATTGTCGGTTTAACATCAAGACAATCTCCAGCACCCCTCATATGAATTGTATTTGCTTCTGCACTATTTTGAAAATGATTATTTTCCAATCGTATTTTACTTTGGCATGGTTCAGCTTTCCATAAACTCTGTTCTACAAAATCAACTGAATGTTCTTTGTTTTCATTTCCAGTACAGTCGTCTTCTTCAACAATGTCCATTGGATATTCTGTAAAAACTGTCACATTGCCCTCGATATTGTTTTCTACAGAAATGTCCATATCGCATTCTGTATTGATCGTTACATTACCTTCAACCCAGACTTCCTCCCCTGTATGAACAGTGCTCACGTCAGTGACTTGCGGGTCATGTTTTTGCATATCACAAATAGTTTTTTCTATTATTGTATTTGAGAGGTTCCTTTGTTTTGTTTTGTTTGCTGCAGAGTCTATATTTCTCGTTTCAATCGCCAAACTATCACTTGCACCAACCATTTCAACTGGCGTTCTGTGTTTCTTCTTTGTAATATTAGGAATATTTTTGTCATGGTCTGTTGCTATCCCAGTTTCTACTGTCCATTCTTCATTAATAGTGTTCAGAATCTTAGATCCTGAAAGCAAAAGAAATGTGTTAAAATATGATATAATGTTAAAATTGTAATTGTCTAGTTCCAGTCTGAACATGTCAAATTAAAACTTTTTTTTTCGCTATTTTAGCTGAAGGGATGATTCAGTGGAAATAAAATCTAGCGAATACACTTTTTTTTCAGATTTTACATACCTACAACTCATCACAAATCAGTAAAAATTAACATACAAAACTGCCAAAAAAATTTGATTTAGCGAAAATTGATTCAAGCTAAAATATATGTATTTTACAGTACATAGTCTGACCAATGTGGGGGAAAAGTTACACAAGCAATGTACCGAACTACAATGAAATCAACAGTGTCAAATTGTGATTTACGAAATCTTTGTCATGGAGTCAGTCATTAACTGAATAAGTAAGACACCAAGGTATGAACATCACTGTCTACATATCAAAGATCTGTTATAAAACTAGAGGGTATCAAATTATTAATGTTCACTGTATGGCTGCCTTTATTTTCTATACCCGAGACTGTCTTTTTTGGTTTCTTTTTCTTATTCTTCTTGGGGATGACTATTTTCTCTTCATCCATCAATGGATTTGAACTGAGGAGGGAAGATTGTGCTTTCCACACACGAGGAGCAGCAAAGTCATCCATTTCATCACTCTGCCAACAAATAAATAGCAAGCATTATCCTGCTGATCTATTAAGGTTTACAGACACATTAACATGTCTTTATTTTTTGAGCAATGTACATCATGTTTACTGCACATTTGAACACCTTTTTTGTTGACATCAGATGCAGAAACGCTATATCGTGTGATGGAGATAGAATCCAGTCACTGAATGCAAACGTTCGCACAGCGAGAAACATTTTTCACCACCATTTTTTACTGTTATCTCTCATTAAACTATCATAATGGTATTTCTACAAGCAGTAAAAAGATGTATGCTAATAAGGTTACTGGAAAGTATACACTCAGGCAGTATAGAAACACATTGACCTCTGCTACGCATTGGTTGATACCTAATATTATGGCACAGGTGTTCCTACATGTGGGTTGCATTTTGACTGTTGTGGTTGTTGTGTTGACTTGTGTTCAAGTGATCAATGTTGAAAATAATTATAGTAAACTTAGTACGTTTTCACTTATCTTCCACTACTAATCTTTCCTATGGCCCTCAAAAAAAGAACACACACACAACTAAACTAATGAAAATGACCAGTTATATACAAATACAATCAGGCTTAATAGTTTCTGAGCAGTTGACTGATGTTATAGCTACCAGAAATTATTTGGTGAAAAGTGACAAATACCAGCTTTGGGTTCAACAAAAGTATTTGACAACCAGCTTTTCAAAGTATTTTTTTTCTTAAATTTCAACTCATGTCAACTATGATATGACAAACATCCAAAGAATAGATTAAGAATAATATAGACTTCATGAATTCGGATATACCGTAAAGCTTACCCAGTCTTCCGGCTCTGGAATAGTATCACTTGTGCTTGTCGGTGATGACACAGAAGACGAACTGCAGGTGGAGCCTGTCAGCTGACCTGTATATCGAGATGAATAATTCACTTGATATAACAATCGTTATTATACATTTGGAATCTAAAACATTAAAATTCAGCCATTCGTAAAACTCCTGCAACAGCCATGTAGTGCACGACGTAAATAGAATCACATGACTGAGCAAAAACTATCACACAGGCATTTTTGGATGTTATATCTCATTAATTTTTGATTAAATATAAAAAAATATGTAATAATGTGTGTACCCAGTCAACAAAGGATTGCATCTACCTCGAATATTAATTTGTCGATACAATCATGCTGCCTACATGCATATTTTGCAGTATTTTCATAATAACCTCCAAATTCGCAAGATTTCCCATTTGAATTCATTAACTAGACTACTCTCACTGCATTTAAAATATCAATGGTGAATAAAAGTGAACTTGAACCTGAACTACTCCATCTCTCTGTATGAGGCGAGCCAATATTGCTATCATGTTCTATATTTTCAATTCTTTGACCAGATTTCAGGTTTATTGATGAACCGAAAGTTGGTGGCATGTCATCATTTGGGTTTGAAACCTGCAAGAGAAATAAGTATGATTACACAGAGATACAAAGAACATGTGCTACTGTAAACCCTATCATTTTAAGGTTAGGTATTCATTACTAAATTAAAGAAATATTTCTCATTTCTCAGTCTTTTTGATAATTTACAATATTTGTAATTTTAACAATGTTAAAATAATAGCCACATGTTGAACACCTTTCACCAGTACAACACATTCTTTCAATTCAGATTATCGGAGAAGTCAGATGTTCGTCTATTACCTTCAGAAATTTTCTCAAGCAAAATAATAATACAAATAAAAAATATAACTTCCTAAAATATAACACTGCCAAAAAAATTAATTACCAGTAGAAAATGTACTTACCAGATAAAAAGCTTGAGACAAGTAA